ACTGCCTGAGGGTTATAATCCCTAAGTGCGGCCGAAGGCCGCCTACGAAGAAAGGTGTTCTCTGCAAAATGTGTTCAGCCCCCCCTTCTTCGGCAACACAGAAATAATAATTCTACTAAGTAAAAATTTCGAATTAAAAATCCTCTTTTATTATTCAAAATTCCAGTCTGGTGGCACTAAGTTGTATGTTATTTTGCTATCTTAATCATCGTTTATATGAAAACTTTAACAATAAATTATATAAGAACTATAGGGTTGCTAGAAAAAAGGGGGGTAGTTTTGAAATCAGGGGGTCCTATTCTACCGCCCCTCATCCCCCCTTTTTCTAGAATTTGCCGTCCGTCTACTAAAATTTTCCCATAAACTGTGCCAGGATACCACTTTGTAATGAGTTTTCGTACGTTTTAAATTTTACACTTTTGAATGTAAACAAAAATTATATCAGCTGTTCGTCTAACTTGCAAGTTTCTGCAAATTTTCTGTTCGCGTACTATTTTGGATATTTCTCTCTTGTGAGCGAACAGATGACATTTCGCCGGAATTTGGCAGTTGGTTGGTTTCTGTTGGAGATTTTAAACGAACGCACCTAATGCCGCAGCAAACACAATACGGCGTTGTCAGTGACTGCTTTTTTTGACATTCCCTTTTGTTTGTTTACATTTTTGTTGTTGCCTTTTAGGCTTCAGTGACATCAACAGATGTTGGCTGCGTTTCATTTATGTCAAATTCAGCATGCGAAGTTTGCTGCGATGAAGGCAGTGGCAGTGAATCAAGGCGCATCAATTACAGGTGATAGCGAAAGAAGCTATGCTTCTTCTTATGAGCACGCTTGTGTCAAATTATCGTCTGTTTTGCTTTATTTACATCTCCGCGTATACATACACGTATACGTCTATATATACCCTGCAAACAAATGCTCCCGAAATCTTTAAGTGTCGGAAATTTGCTACGATTCTTTTAGAAATCTTTAAAGAAAAACATATGAAGTGGTTGACAAGAACTAGTAAAGAAATTTCTGTACGATTTCTTAAAGTAAATTATAAAAAAAATTGTGAAACCTTTCAGAATTCTATGAAATCCTGGTATGCAGGGTATACATGTACATACGAATATTAATAGATAAAGAAGATGTTGATGACACAAGGAGTTCATACCAACGGTAAATGTTGTTTTTGTACGATTGCTACAACCTGTAGTTGTTGAATCATGCAGTGAATTTAGAATTTGGGCTAAACTGAGCAGTACTGCTAGCTGCCACTGCTGTATTGTGAGTCGCTTCATTGGACACCACACTTTCTAAAAAACAGCTGATTTCAAAAACTGCCGCTGCCACTGCCACTGCGTTATTGTATTTTGGGCTTTATGGGGCTGAAAGCCAAGCAGTTTTTAAAATATGGTAGTAGTGCACTTTGGCGAAGGTAGGTAAAATGGACGGACAAAGTTCGAGCGTGGTATCAATCGACGCGTCTTAACGCCAATAATAACAATCCGAGACCGGAAATTAACATTTTTAATTAATTAAAGAGTTATTTGCAAAAAAACACTTGCACTTTCCGGAATGGAATAAATGAACTTAATTTAACACGTATTTATTAGTTTTTATACATTTGTGATGTTTTAAGTGTACACTTTTGCGAAATTCTGTATTTAATAGCAATATTCCGAAGGTGAAAATCCGCACAACAATCATGTGTAGTTAATATAAATAACATGGAGGGAAACTAGTGTTGCCACTCTATTAATACAATTTGCATTTCAACTTTAAAAATACCCATATAATGCACAAGAAATATACTTTTGTGAAAAGGGGATTTCTGTTCCTTTTCTTCGCACGCAGAAAGGAGAGGGTTATAATCCCTAAGCGCGGCCGAAGGCCGCCTACGCAGAAAGGTGTTCTCTGCAAAAGGTGTTCTGCCCCTTTTCTTTGGCAACACAGAAAGGAGAATTCTACGTTGTGAGGGTTATAATCCCTAAGCGCGGCCGAAGGCCGCCTACGCAGAAAGATGTTGGACGGACAAAAACTTTTTTAATACAGTGGCTGCAGCAATTTAGTTCCATTTTATTTTTAATAGAGTGGCAACACTAGTTTCCCTCCATGTTATTTATATTAACTACGCAAAATTGTTGTGCGGATTTTCACCATCGGAATATTGCTATTAAATACAGAATTTCGCGAAAGTGTACAATTAAAACATCACAAATGTATAAAAACTAATAAATACGTGTTAAATTAAAATCATTTATTCCATTCATTTGCGTGAAATTCATCAAAGCATAGTGCGGAAAGTGCAAGTGTTTTGTGCAAATAACTCTTTAATTAATTAAAAATGTTAATTTCCGGTCTCCGATTGTTATTATTGGCGTTAAGACGCGTCGATTGATATCACTCTCGAACTTTTTGCGTCCATTTTGACCTACCTTCGCTAAAGTGCACTTTTACCTAAAATATTGTGAAATAGTGCCATACAAGTTTGTTAAATTTACAAACTTTAACAACAAATTCCTTAAAAGCTATAAGGCTCCGCGTTTTGAGACTTCATACAGACAACTATTAGACCCCCTCTACCTACCATATTTTATTTAATTCCGTTCTGCGGAGTTACCCATCTAAAGCCCACCCCTAAAATTTAATATGCTATAAAACTGCGTACTCAAAATTCCAACTAATTTGAAAAATTAAAAACTTGAAACCCGATTAGAAAGCAAAACGAAAAGAAGGTTCGGAAATGCATCACCAAACCTTGTTTTAATAACTGCAAAACAGAATAACGAAATGACGAAAAAAATTAATCATGAAATGCACCCCGTGCATAAAAAACTTTCAATCTTTATTAACTTGAGTTGCCCTGTTTTGGTATGACACTGGGAAATGTCAATTATTGACGTTCTTTATTTGTCTGCTAAAAATTATGCACTGATTTTGTGCTTGCCAAAACCTTAGCTGTAAATTTGCAGGAAGTGAAAATTTATATTTTATTCGTTATCAAGGCTGCAACTGCAAACTGCAAAAATGCTTACAGACATAGATGACGATTTCTTTTTCGAGGAGGATAAAATGTAAGTTAAAGAGCACATTCCCCAAAGAAAATTTCATTGCATACATAGTGGCTGCGTTTCTTTATACATTCCGGATAATCCAATTTCACAGCCGGAATCAAGGCACATTAAACAGGTAGTATCAGTAGAGCAAAAACAACATTTGCGTGTATTTTGTTCTTGCTTCTGGTATCGAAAGTGTCAAAAACTGTCCTGATTTTTTTCTTCTAAATCAAAGCGTGCCATGTGAAATACAAAAAATTAT